GGAAAAGCACGTTTGCGTGTTCTTCAAGCACGTCATGACTTTCCAGCAGCAGGGCACTTTGGATATAATAAGACTCTGGAACTCATATCAAGAGATTTTTGGTGGCCACAAATGTGGAAGTCAGTCAAAGACTTTGTACAATCATGTGATATTTGTTCAAGATCAAAAATTCCTCGACATCGACCTTACGGACTTCTTCAGCCATTACCTATACCAGAACAACCATGGTCTTCTGTTTCTATGGATTTCATCACAGATCTTCCAAACTCAAGATCTTATGATTCTATATTTGTGATAGTAGATCGTTTCACCAAGATGGCACATTTTATGCCATGTACAAAATCTATCACAGGTGAAGAAACAGCTAAGCTTTTCATTGATAATATCTATCGCTATCATGGATTACCTAAAGATATCATATCGGATAGGGGAACTCAATTTGTGTCGAGATTCTGGAGGACTCTTTTCAAGATTTTAAAAGTGGACATAAAGCTAGCTTCAGCTTTCCATCCTCAAACTGATGGACAAACAGAGCGCGTAAACCAAGTCTTGGAACAGTATTTAAGGTGTACCATCAACTACCAACAAGATGATTGGACAAACCTTCTGCCATTGGCAGAGTTTGCTTATAATAATACGGTACATTCCTCCACGCAACAAACACCTTTCTTTGCCAATTATGGCTATCATCCACGACTTGATACTTTTGATTTTTCAAAAGTTGATAATCCTGCAGCAGAAGATATGGCAAATCGGTTGTCAGAGTTACATGCAATAATGAAGGCGCAGTTGAAGAAAGCTCAAGAACGACAAAAGATAAATGCAGATGTATATCGTAAAGAGCAACCACAACTCAACGTGGGTGATAAGGTATGGCTACTTCGTCGCAATATCAAGACCACTCGACCTTGTGACAAATTGGACTATCGTAGGCTTGGCCCCTTTTCTGTTTCTGAACAGATCAACCCAGTTGCATATCGGTTACATCTACCGGAGTCAATGAAGATCCATCCTGTATTCCACGTGTCTCTTCTTGAACCATATAAGACAGTGGATATATAAGGAAGAAGACAAATGCCACCGCCTCCTATAGAAGTAGATAATAATGAAGAATTTGAGGTGGAAGAGATATTAGACTCAAGGCGGCGCCGAAATAAGCTGGAATATCTTGTTCATTGGCGCGGATATGATATTAGTGAGCGCACATGGGAGCCATCCAGGAATCTAGCAAATGCATCAACTAAAGTCAAAGTTTTTCATCAACGACATCCATCAAAACCAAGATGAAAACCTCTCTTATAAAAGAGACAAGATTGAGGCAAGATAACATTCAATTTCCTATCCTTGTTTGTAACTTCTTTGCATTTGTGACGCTAATTAGATGGAGAGCCAAGAACCAGCGGATTCAACTCAAGAACCTTCGTTTGCTGACTTACCGGATGAGAAATTGCGATTGTCACAACCTTCAAGATGACGCAACCGAGATGAAGACCCTCAAGAACGACATGTTCTTCCTCGAATAGATGGTGAGATACAACGCGTTTGGTATCACGACCTTGGAAGAGATTCTCGATGTTTGGTGATATTATTGGAGATAGGAACGACTCCTGATGGTATTTCAAATGTATTATTTGAAAGAAGTTATGAAGGCCTCAACAGTGATCAAATAACAGGGTGGTCTTCTCGCCCTGGAATGGGACACTATCGATGGCTAAGAGGACCCATCAACTATCTTCGAAGAGAACAAAGATCAGAGTATGTAGCAAATACAATTCGCCGCATATTAGATTTTCTCAATATATAATCACCGCTCCTCGTGGAACTCGTCCCTAGAAGGGGGGGTAATGTCACGGACATACATATAATTACCTATATGAATAGATAAAAGTATGTAAAAGTAGATAAAATTAGGTTAATTATGTAATATCTTCTAGACAAGCTTCTTAGAAGCTTCATAGACGTTGCTTTGACTTTATAGGAGTCTATAGTTGACTTTTAGGCTAGAAACTTGGTCAACAAGTTAGCCATGTGCCACACATGTTGGAAGCTTAAAGAATAAGCTAACTACATGGTCCATCCATAGAAAACTTGCCTTGCAAGCAAAGGCATGTGGCCTAGAAAGTCAACATATATTGGAGGTCTTATAGAACATTGCCACGTGGCTTCTAGTTAGATAGTATATATAGAGGCAAGAGTGAAGCCCTCTTCACTCTTGTCAACTCCTTTCTTGCTTCTAGTCTAGTTTCAAGGGTCTCTAGTTTTCTTGTATTTTGGCAATAGCCATTCCAGTTTCTTTCTTAATATACATATTTCTATTTTGTCCTATTTCTTTTTGAGAAAAGTCTCACTTACTCTTTAGCTTTCATCGAGTTCTTGTCCTTGACACATATCAAACTTGTAAGACAAATTTTACATATGTGCCTCATGTCAAACTTTTAGAATAAGTGGCCAATATATGTGACATATTGCTAATTTTTTGGCCAAGTTATCAACCTACTAATCACCTACAAACATGTATAAAGTCAAATTGCATCTATAAAGCTTTTAAAAAGCTTTTCTACAAGATATTATCAAATCTATTTACTTCTATTTATTTTTATCTAATTCTTTCAATCTAAATAAATACATAGATCTATGACAACCATGCAGCTAAAATCTTGTACAACACTTAGTAAAACTTCTATTATTTTCTTAGATCTGTCACCTTGTTTTATAATAGTTGTTTGTTTAGGACCAAAAAATTACAAAGTATCTATCTTATTAGATTTAGGAGCCTTAGTTTTTTTTCATAGACAAAAACTTCATCAAAAAATAAGAAGTATCTTTTATAAAGAAGATTAATGTAAAAGACATAAATAATTATTTTTTATATTTTAAAAATATTATTCATAAAATTTTTCTTGTAAAAATAATAATTAATAATCATAATAGCTAAATAATATTTAATATTATTAGATTTATTTTTAATTCAAATTTTTTAGGTTTATTATGACTAAAAAAGTATAATCTTTAAATAGATTGTATTTCTTATAATCTCAATTTTTTCCATAGTACAACTCAATTTTTTTTATTTAAGCAAAAATTTATAAATTTAATATATCTAAGTCCTTATAGTTAGATGTAAGAGCTTTTATTCATGCTACAAAAGAAAGAATATATTCTGTTATTTATGCTACATCCATTTTTGATGGTGGAAAGATTTTAAGCGGCATTTCAAATTACTATAAGGATTATCAAGACGTTTTTAATATATAAAATATAAATATTCTTTTAAAGCATTATTGTTATGATTACTCAATCAATATTTAAAAAGAAGCTCAACCACCATTTGGACCAATGTATAACTTATCATAAAACAAGTTGGTTGTATTTAAAGAGAATATTAGTAAAAACCTTTCAAAGAACTTTAAATGTCATTCAAAATTTTTAACATGAATTCTTATCTTGTTTGTAAAGTTCAAACTATCTTATATTAAAAGGCTCCAAAAAGAATATAAAATGTATAGTATTTTTTGAAATCTATTTATTACTATTAAATCTTTATTTCTATTAATTACTATTGAAAACTATAACTTCTTAGTTTGCAAGATATAGCACATTTAACTTGGTCTTTAGGATTTTAGATTTATATAGGTTTATAGATATTGAGTATTTGACCATTTTGGTTTTTGAATAGACTTTGCAAATAAGAAGAAATTCTTAAGTTTTGATTTGATCTACATCACTATTTTGGAGATCTATAAATTTAGAAGTCAACTTAGAATGCTCTACAAGTTTTTTAATCTTCAAATATACAGTTGTTGACTTGGTATTTTATTTGTTGACTTTTTTTATCTTTTGTCTTTTTAAAATTTTGAATTGACCTATCTCCCTATTTGTTATGCTTTTTAATTCTTATGGTATATTTAAAATCTTCAATAATTTTATAATTTAAAAGATATGAGGTTTTTAAAATTATAAATTAATCTTTAATAAATATAAAATAAAATAAAATAAAATAAATACATGTAGATTTGATAATACTATAATAATGAAATATATAGCTTATATAGAATTATATATATATATATATATGTATTTTAATTTCAAAATATCATATTATATATAAAATGACTAAAATTATATAATCTATATTTTAAGTCCATACAATGGATTGTACATTGTTACTCCAATTTGCACCATACTTTCTAATGAAGTGACGAGCTCTTTAAATATGATCTTCTTCAGCACATTCTTTCTTTTAATATCCACCATCATTGGTCCTCTTTAACATCACTCCATCCACACATTGTTTTACAATTCTACTATGAACATGCAAATGTACATTGTAAAGAAATCAAAAAAATAAAATGACAATTACTTGGATCATCTTACTTCCAACCATCATATTAATGCTTGTTGATGTACTTAGGCACTTCTCCACTCTTTTGCTTATTGAAGTTGATGCTTTATATGCTTGCCACTCCACTCCACCCTATTGGTTATCTAACAAAAGTCTATGCATTTTTGACACAAATAAAAAGTACATATGAATATCTTCCAAAAATCTCATTCACCAACTTTTGTAATACACACCAACATGTTTCAAAGATTTTTTTTATACATTCTTATTTATATACTACATGATCTAAAATAATAGTTTGAATCTTCTTTAATATCAAAATATTAATAAAAAATTACAAAATATATTTATTAATGTTTAAAAGATAAGACACATAAAAGAATGACTCCAAAAAAATGTCACGAAAATAATAATTATTCATCCCTACAAATGTTCATAAAGTTGCATTCCTAATTTTTTTGCCAATGATTGTTCTATTGAATACTGTACCCAACAACCCTAAACATGTAAACAACTCAAATTTCTACATTTGCATTCAAAGTGCAATATTATTTGATTCCTCAACAATGAAAATTCCTGAATATTGAGGTACTGATCTTTTTGCCACATTTGTCACAATGTTAACCCACACCAATACCACCATTATGGACAATATCTATTTCAAGGATAAATATGAAAAATGCACAAATGCATATATTGTGCTGACATACATGAAATTATGCAATACTTTCCATTTGTATGGAAACACAATTAATATTGGCTATCAATAATGAAAGTCATCCATGTAAAGATATCAATGCTACTACCGCTAAGCGGCTTCCAAATTTTTTCATTCCCTCAAATGCCTGAGTATTTTGGAATATGAACGCTGACATATGTCTAAAATATATGACGCTGAAATATGTGAACGGACAAATTTACCATCCCTCTGATCCATAATTCTTGCCCATTTGCCCAGATTTATCCATATAACTAATTTCAGCCCAGGATACCAAAATTTCAGGTAAATTCCATGGCACTGAGATACTCACCATTCGCTTCAAAATGATCTACCAAGCGTTTCAGGAAGTCATCTTTCCCCACTGTTTCAACGTTGCAGACAATGCAGCACTGCCTGCGTGCACGAGTCACAGCCACATTCATTCTCCTCTTGTCGCTCAGAAATCCTACCTGCAAAGAGACATGAATCACAACTTGTCATCCAAGAGTATTGACTATTTCACGTTAACCACGCTGTCCCATTTATCAGGCTCAGATTTGAAGACCAATGGCGACACTCCTAACGGTATTCAGAACAACAGAGGCAAAAGGAGTTGCCATGGGTTACAGAAGGATCATATGAACCATGAAGTAAAACATTAGAACAAGCGGTGTACCTCGTGCGTGTCGTTAGACCGCACCATCGAAATGACTATTGCCTCTTTTTCGCGTCCTTGAAAACCATCAACAGTACTGATTTCTAAATCAACCAACTTTTTGTCATCAGAGCGCATACCCTTGAGGATTCCCACCTGTTTTCCACCAAAATCCACAACGAATGGTGATTATTTCTTCACTCGAATGATAAACTATATATGTGTGAAGAATCAGACACGTTGAAAACATTTTACTACTAAAGAACGGACCACTGAGAAACCCACAGTTAAAAAATTTATATTTCCTCCGTGTCATTCAAAAGTAAGAAAACTCAATTGAGTTGTTACTCATTCGACACAGTTACAAAGAGGAGAGGAAGACCTGAGCTGAATAAGGCGTTATGATCCCAATATCACAAGCTTGTACCCCTGCTTCCATGAGTAGTTTTGCATGTGCTACTGCAACACGGGCTTCACCCTCGTTGTAAGTACTATCAGCCTCATCTTTCTTCTCTTCCATATCACACCTGATAACAGCAATCATGCATTTGTTACATGTTCCAAGCGTATAAGCACTTGTCTGACTCTCCTAGAAATCAGCACCTCTTTGCATGAGCAACTACTCAGGAAAACACATTTTAGACAATCAGATTGTACCCCAGCATTTGTTATACGAAGATTCTTTCAATAAAGCATTTGGACGACGTATAACATCAACATCTATTCCACTTCTGAAAAATTGCAGACACCAGATACATGTATGATTGATAAAACCCTTTTGCTGGTAGTTGTGATATTAACTGTCTCCATACTGAGACATAATCAGTGACCATCGAAATGAAAGAGTCTATGAATTCTGAGCTCATCGGGGTAAATTTTTATGAAAAATATACCAAGAACAAGCATGATAAAATTAAGGAAAAATACCCATCTGTGTCGATAAGGATCAGGGTTGGTTCAGTAGCGCTTGTCTGTTTGACTCCTTCGAGATCACAGAGACTATGTCCAGAGACACTGGAATGGGCTTCAATCTACAAAACCATAATGAAGTCCCTGATCAGGAAAAATTGAATGCTATCTCGATCATTTCGAAATACCTAAGAATCTTACTACACGTATAGATACCTATGCAGCCAAGCGCATCAACAAGCAGCTGGGTATTGCCTCTAGTATTCAATAAACTTGTAGGCATGCCAAGTGATGAAATAAAGATCCAAGATATATCCCTCTACTTCCCAAACGCCCTCGTATATCAATGGGCCTTCAGGAACAAAGACAGGTACAGCGTATACTGAGATCATGTAGATGGTACGAGGACGCACCTTATCATTGTAAAGCTCACGAGAAGACCACTGCATTATTAGCTCGTGCATTCTATACTGCACTGTCAACATAGAGGTAATATCATCACCATATAATGCTGTCAGACGCTCGAAGAGCGTCCTGCCGTATCCTTTGTTCTCAGCCTCGGCACTTTGCACGGTTGGAGACAGCTGAAGATGGTCACCTGCCAAAACGCATCGTCGGCCCTGGAGTCCCCATGAATTAAACAGTTACTAATTTCATCAACAAATAGTTACGAGACTCTTATTTTGAGGATAAGTCAATTCATACAAGAAGAATCCACAAAAAAATCATTTACATGTAATGGTAATTTTCGAACCGGACAAGCAATAAACGATTGACAGGGACAGAAGCCAAGAAGCTCATTCTACCTTCAATAATGCAATCCAGCAGGCAATTTCTAAAGCTTGAGCTGCTTCATCAATGATAACAACATCAAAAGTTGTATCACGCAGTTGACGAGTGAGCGCTCCTGTGAGAGTTGTCAGAATTACAGTCGAGTCTTTGATAACATCGGCGACTGCTTGCTGTTGTCTCTGTCGTTCTTCCTTGCCCAGACTCCGCAGCTCCCTTCTGATATCTCCACGTGTTCGTCTATCTTTTGCTTTCAAAAGCTTGCTGTTCAAAACCTATGTGACACACAGAGAGAATTAAAAGTCGTCCGCTCAGAAACTTCAGCCCTAGATGGAAATGACGTGTATACGAAAGACACTTGGAGGCTGTTGACAGACATATATCATCGAGCTACCCCACTACATTACAATTCAATTTTCGAAAGTCAGTCGTGCGACAGACTGTAGTGAGTAAAAAATGATGAGAGACACAAGGAAAGTAATTCTAGATGGCTTGGACTGTGCTCTAAGGATTCTAACAAGAAGAGAGGAGGAGCAGAATGCATACCGCAGCTAGAATATTCTGACGGAATGCAACTATCCATGCATTGTTCCAAAAGTGCTTACCTTCATCTCCTTACGCACATCGTTGGCGAGGCTACTATTGTCTGCCCTCATAACCTGAACATAGAACAAATATCATGAAAGAATTCCTCCATTAAATGACGTGCAGGAATAAATTGAGGTTTAGTATATTTTCTGAAAAACTACTTAAGCTACTAGCTGCATGATAAATCAATGAACAGTTCTGGTGAAAAGAGAGATGTTCACGAATCAAACGAATAAGAGCATGTAAAATTGCAAAATGAATACAAACTATGAATAAGAATTTGTAACAGACCTGTGCATCCAAGGAAGAATCTAAAACTTGAGGCAGGAGGCGTGCAGGATGACCCATTCGAACCAACTTCACTCTGCATCAGTAATTAATAGTCACTTAGACCGCTGAATTCTCAAGAGCGCCTCATAACATTCAGCCAGAATGTAAAACACAATCAGGAAGAATATATTCATTGGATGGAAATGCACAAAATTACAATGAAAAGGGTCGAGAAATGACAAACTACATATCTATAAAGATTTCACAGAACTACAATATGACTGAGATCGGCTGAAAATTTACCTGTGGCATGCAAGCCGCTCGACTAAGTTGTCAACAGCAATGTTTGATGCCGCGCAGGCTAGAATCTTGGAGCTCCTCTTGACCTCCTGAAGGATGAGCTCAACCACAGCAGTCGTCTTGCCCGTGCCAGGAGGTCCATGTAACAACATGACATTGTTTGAACCCAATGCTTTCGAAACAGCTGCCTTCTGCTCTGACAATCACACCACACTTTGCTTGCTCAAACTTGGATAATGCTCATTCTCCATCCCAGGTAGACATAATCTCTGCATTACTGCCACTTGCTCACCAGCGTCTGGTCCATTTGCACACCATGTTAACCCAAAGGCACTTAATATGCGATTACACTCCAGCATATCACCGTAAATGGGTTCATACCTCCAGGTCTTTATTGGAAACCCTTGCTTCATTTAGACTACGTGACGAACTCATTATCCACTAGGGAGCACTTCTAGCGAATTTGGTCAAGTTATCCCAGATATTGAACATACTTAATGCCTTAGCAATGACTACCACATGAAAAGTGGACTTACCTGGGAATGATCAAGATTTTTGTTAAAAGGAGTAAAAGTAACCGGTTTTTTCGCAAATGAAGGAGCTTTGCCTCCGAAGAGAACCGGAACCAGATCGACAGCAGGTCCTTTGACCCCCTTGCTCAGCTCTATCAAGGTGTCCTTGAGCCGCCTGTATGTCACCTGTTATCACACCTATGTTAGTTTGAAAAAGCCTTCTAGGCAAACTCCGAGACAAAAGTACGTGATGGAACATATACAGATTCAACAATCAAAAAAAAAAAAAAAAAAACGGAGAATGCATGAGAGGACGTACTTCGTTGGCTAATTTCTCCAGTCGTAAAGGGGAGTCTAACCCCTCCTCGGGCGGATCATCGACCGCAAGTACAATTGAATTATCCTAAACTCCATGAAAACCAAAGACAAACTAGTGAGTTTCTACAACCACTAGCAACTGGAAATCCATGACTACAGAATGGAACAACGATCTCAATAAAATCATCACTGAAAACATTTACAGCAGTGAAACAAAGAAATCGGATAGGGATATTTCATACACCTTAATACGATACACGGTTCCTTGTCCGAGAGATGGACTGTTGCCGTCTCCTTTATTCAGTTTTAGATTCACTACGTCATGAGGCGTCAGCTGTATAGAGACCAACCCAGACACTCCCAACCACATTTAAGTCCTTGCAAGTCCAAACACGAATACCAACAGTAGCAGCAGCGAATGACACTGTGATTTCACTCTCAAATTGAATCCATCTAAAATAATCTAACCATACCTTGTGAGGAGGGAGTAAATCGCCTCTATTTGCCTGCAACTCCAGTAAAGTCTTCCCCAACAGTCCTGACTACGCATTAAATATTCATAAGGCCAAGCCAGGGCGGTTAATTGAAACGGAACCTTGGCAATTCAAGACGGAAAAACTTCAAGCTAAGTAATCATGCATCAAATTTCAGATAAACGCTACATGATCTGTTTAAGAGATAGGGTCGATCTCTTTGCTTTATGTGATATAGGGGATAAACACATGAGGGAAACGACGAGAATGATTGCTTCGAAGCACAAGGTGCATTGTGGCAGTCACCTGAACGTCAGTGCATTTAAGATTGAGAATTATGGACCCTCGCTTCTGAGCGATTTCCGGCTTCAAATTTGACAATGCATCCAAGGATGCCGCTATCTCTGCTTCCTGGCTTTGTCAAACCCAACAGTAACTGTAAGATACAAGGAACCAAGTTCAGGTACTTATTTCAGGTACAAAATGCTGTGGCACACAGCAAAGCCCACAGAGGCGAATCCCAAATGTAGTTTCACACCACAGTCGGCTTCGAAGGAGGATTATGACATGGAATTTCAAGTCACCACTTATTCTTGAGACAAAACAGAAAGCAGAATTTGCTAGAGTAGGAGTAGAACGCCAGCTCCTGAGCCAGCAGATAGAACTTCAAGCAGGAAAATACTGGTTACATTAGAATACCTACAACAAATTCCTTAGAAAAGAGACTGTCGTCTCCATCAACTGCAACAGCGAATTCAACAATTATCGCCCCTGAAACCTTAGACAACGATAATGGCTTGTTACTACGGGCATAGGTAGCAAGGCACCACCTTCTCAAGATCAACAAGGGGCAGCATTTGGCTAATAAATTGCTCCAGCGTCACAGCTTCGCAAAATGCTTTGGGTTTGCTGTTGCTCTTGCTGCTACCCTTGGTTGATGCTTTCGCCTTCCCCTTGGAAAGATCACCCTTCCCATGTTGACCCAGACTCGACAAGGCGGGCGAAGGTAGCTGGGACATGGTGGGTAAAAAATTTGCTGCAGCTCTTCCAACAGACTGCGCCCGCCTTCTGTTCCACCGTTAGGGAGGCCACACCACTGTACCGTGTCTCCACCAATGCATCGACTCTCCGCCCACACACTCGCCTCTTTTCACAACTTAAATTTCGCCCTTAAAATTCCTGAAACCCATAGCAACCCATTACTCCATCTGTCCCGTTAAAGCCTACCCGCCGTCACCGCACTACTTAATCCACACTCGTGGTCCCGATTCTCAACTCCAAGCCACGACATCAGCCTTTCCGCCCCTATCTCTCCCTCGCTCACTCTCAACAGATGTTGGCTTCCGTGAGTGAGGAAGGGAAAAACCGTTTCGAGTATTTATTCACAGCACTCTAAAAGGAGGCACATGTACAGTGGTGATGGAGGCGGGATTCCGAGTAAAAGGCCCCAGAAAGTGAACGAAGAGGGGTTGAGAGGGCTGCAGAGGGGATGGGCATTGAATAGTGCAAAAGCAGAAAGCACCAACGCGATTGGACGCTGTGAAAAATTTGAAGCCCTTCCTGACCACTTCGGCAACTCAGGCACTTTCCTTCTTTGTACCAGATTCCTCTCTTGCTCTCTTTGTCTCACTCCGCAAGCATCTGCTTAGGCCACCCTTCTGCAAATTGGCTCTCTAACTCGCCAAAAAATTTCGGTCCACTGCCTCAAATGCATTATACCAAATCTAACCCAATTTCACCTCTTCCCTTCTCCTTTGGTTTTATACGTAACCTTCTCAGTCTTTCTTTTAGGGTTTCGAGCTGTCAGTTTCACGAAAGTTAGAAGAATGGTTTGTTAAAAATACTGATAAAATGCGCTGATTATTATAATAACCCCAAACTGGATTGTTGATTCTTATCCTTTCGCACAACGGTCTTTTCCCATTCATACATCACACGGTTGAGACACACCAAAGTAAGCTTTACGACTCCTCAGGGGCAATTTCAAGTATGAAGGTAGTTTCTTGACTAAACCAGTAAAAAATCAGTAAGGGCTAATATTATACGTTCCCATACCAAACCTAATGTACTTCCCAAGTGGCTTAATGGTCAACTTCGATGAACAAAATCAGGAAATTACTGTAAATCGTAGACGATTCATGGCAAATCGGCTGGTAAAACGAGAAATCACTGGGCGGAAAACCCGGACTGTCTGTGGACGAGGGCATTGGGTAGGGCCTACAGGAGAAAAAAGTTAGTAATAGATGGAGTTCAACGAGCTCGGCAAGCTAAGTGACAGCATGAACAGCTTTTGCCAAGCAGAACTTGCCAACTCTGCTAGCAGGCCTTCATAGAGAGGTAATCCTCATGAACATCTTAAAAAAGCCTACATGACGTCTCCAACCAAAAAAGTGGACTAAAGACAGAGATCAAATCCATGATGTCTATGACCCTGCACAAGTCTTTCCAAATGCGAACACACAATGTGCAACAATCCAATTCTCCATGAAAGATATCCACAGATTACAACTGAACCTGACCGGCGAAGGATAGTCAGAGAAATCACTCATGTAAAATTGAGTTAAAAGATTATCTTTAAAAAACTTAGAAATTCGGTTGGAATTTAGACAAAATGAACCCACTGAACCACACCATCATCAATGCCACGTGTGATTATTACATGGTCGTAAGTCGGGCGACACATTGCTCAAAAGCTGTAAAAGTAGCTTTCGTTTGTGCTTACAACTTACTGAACTGACCTCCAATATAAGGAGTAACAAAACTAATTTAGAACTCGTCATCATCGTCATCCTCATCAACAAAACTGCTCAGCTGGCCACTGAGTCCATCATCCTGTTCAAGGGCCTGGCTTATCGCCTGTTCATCAACTTGGTCGTCGTCATAAAGTGATGTGTTCCGGCGGAATTCTTCTGCCCTGATTTCCCACTGTGGTCTTTGATTCTTCTCCTCAGCCAAGTCCTTCTCAATGGCTTTTCTGATTGGCATCACGACCAGAAAGTACTGTTGACACAAACATGCAAAGGGCACATTACCATAAAAGTGAAGGGACATACTATAAAACGCAATCAGAAAAAGCTACTGAAGTACCTAACAAACCTTAAAGACAATTACACTGGTTCTGAAAACACCATTTGCTCAAAATACAGACTTAGGGTCGGAGAAGTGCTTTCGGACGTACTTGAGCCACTGCTAGCACAGGGATCCACCATTTGCCCCATTCATTAGCGTTGGGACCATCGATCAGCTTTTTATCAACGAAAACTGAATCAGTGGTTCCTGTAGCCACCTCAACTATTCGCTCAACCAGGGCTGGAAGCCAAACCGTCCCATTGGGAAGAATCTAAATGCACAGAAAAGAAAACATCAGTACATTTTATACTGGCGAAACACTATTTGGTATGCATTAATAGTTCAACAACAGATGTGCACTCTCGTTTTACACTGGCATTGTAGATGGATGGTCTATGCGACCCCCACATACCTTCTCTCCTCCATCATTTGTGTTGCATCGACCACTATTCTCCACTAACGCGTAAGGCACCTGCACATTATTTTACAAAGGATAGAAATAATTTAGATGCGAATCGTGAAGATTGCAAACGGTTGAGGTCAAAAGATATTGGAATCACCAACCTGCACACAAAATGCACAACTGATCCACGAAATGATAAACAGCGCTACATGAACCGTATGATTGAATTCATCAATGAAGTGAAGCAGACCTAGAACGAACACGCAATCAGCCCCCCAAAAAGCCACCTTAAAAGAATTTCCATACCTCTTTCTCATCTTTCTTTAAACCTGCCTCCTGCCGAATTGCTGCCTGCAAGGCAGCTGACCTTTTCTCCACAAATTCGGTGTAGTTCACACCATCGGAAGGGGAGAATTGCGCATGTGTAAGAACAATCACTGCTAAGCGCCAAAAATTAGGTCCAAAACTCCGTGCCAAACCCCTGATCACCTGCCTGTCTAAGTTGTCCACACGATAGCCATCTAGCCTATCAACATAAAGTACAACGTCGATGGTCTTGCTCAAAAGAAACCTGCAGAAAAATAATTAATCAAATCTTCAGTAAGAGGATACGTGACAAGGTTCCATAATCGTCTGTGCAACACAGAATAAGACCCAAGAGGCTGCAAAAAGAAGAAGAAGAAGAAGGAGAAAAATATAGACATATAGAAATATAAAATATAAAATATAAAACCCTTCTCTAGGAAATATATATTACCAGTCAGCCACTACAATAGTCAATGTTGTCTTGGTTTCAATAAGGCAACATACCACGTTAAGTGGCGAGATAGACGTACAAAAGCAACAAAAAAAATCCGTTTTCTTCGATGTCCTACCAGCAGAACGTGCTTCTAGTTTTCTTCCTACAATTCTAACGTTCTTCATTATAAATTTCAACTTCGGCTGAGATGGGGGGGGGGACGGCTCTACACCCATCTGACCTAGCGTAGTCTACAAGCTAAGAGTTTGGATAACTTGGATTAGAATTAAAAACGTGAAGATTCAAGTCAAAAGTATGAGTGGCTACCGCATAACGCTTTGAATTGCGAAAACATGCCAGTACCTTTTAATAATGTCGAGAGCCTGGTCGTTGATACAGCCTCCTTCAACCAGGCCTGGGGTATCTATGATATTCAATGTAAACCCTGCTCTTGACCTCGCACATTGAAGCGGTCTCAAAGTCTCTGACTGAATCAGCAAATCACCAATCTTTTGAGAATAGCTTTCTTAAGCATTTCACAACTACAATGCGACGCCAAAATTTACTCCTTAAACTACATATCCAAATTTTTCTCAGTTGCATTACCTGGAAAGCACTGACAATAGTAACCCTTTCGCCAACGATTGAATTCACAGTAGAGCTTTTGCCAACCCCGCCTTTGCCCACCACTAAAACCGTCAGGGATTCCTTATTCTGCAGAAAAACAAGTGGCGACATTCAGACTCTGTCAATGCTAAGCTATGTAATTCCCACTGCCTGCGTGAAAACATCATCACCTACAAAACCTACTTCAATGCTTCCAGTAAAGCCACCGTTGGTCTAAAATTGCGTCCTCCCGACTCATCCTCAAACGAAATTATAGAAATTCCAAACAAAAACTAAACCCAGAATCCGAACCAAAACCCACTCACACCTGCTGGCGGAGAGTCCCGAGAATGTTGTGCAGAGCTGTCTGAGTGGCGACGGGGAACTGCTGTAGCCCAGTCCACTCACGCGCAGGAGTGGCCGCCATCGTTCCCAACACAACGATTCCTTCCTTGCACCCTTTAACACTCCTTGCTCCCAAAACCCAGCAAACCCAAAACCCAACAAACCCAAAACCCCACCAATTCAGAAAACCATTTCCTAAATCCGCATGGACAAAAAGAACCAAAAACCGGCTACCCTACGGTAGACAACGGGCGTTGAATGAAGTCTCGGAAGCAGGAGCTCAAGGACAAGGGGCCAAATGGCAGGATTAGACGACTGACGCAAACAGAAGCCTGGTGAGCTTGGAGCTTCAAGAGGAACGAACGACCTGCAACGTTATCTCCTTCTTCAGTTTTAGGGCAGCAGGGTCGAGCCCCACATCCTCAAATCTTCATCCCCGAATTAGCATATCCTGTTTTGGACTGGTTGGGACGGTCGCTCGGAACCGGAGGCTGCCGGTCGTCTCCCTCTCTTCACCCCTCTGAACCTTTGCGCACAAGATTTCTCCCATTCCAAGTGGGCTACGAAGTAACATCTCCTGCTTGACCACCTCGGTGGTGAATGTTGGGCACTTCGCACGGAATCCCACTTGTGATTTTCGAAGGATTGTATTGATGCACAACTCTCTTGTTAAGACCGCAGCCATTCTGAGTCTGCGGAATGGCGGCGCTGAAGGGGTTTGATAACACGAAGTGTTTGTGACACACTCGGGAAGTTGACGATTGGGTTGAGTTCGGGAATTATTGGGTGTGGTTTCGTGAAGAATAATGTTCGGGAATTATTGGGTGTGGTTTTGTGAAGAATGATGTATCGAGGTGTTGAGGTTAGCTCATTGACCAGAAGATGGACGGGAGGAGGAAGACCTGCGGGGCGCTTAAGGGACATGAGAGCTTGCTACGATTAGTGGGGAAGCGTCGCAAGCTGCACCCTTCTGTTTTCAGCTCTCCCATCGTCGAAGCCGTGCACCTCGATGTCAAAGTCCACGTACGTTCTTTGTACAACCGCCTCGTGCTTTTTACTTGATGCTGAAAATAAAATAAATAAATTCAAGGTTTGTGCTCGATTTCGTGCAAAGCTGCTCTAGGAATTCACAAGCAGGTTGCACCAACTGTGAAGACGTTTATTTGTTTTTTTGAATTAGTTGCTGACTGGAATTGGTAAGATCTCACCATTCGGTGTAATAAAACTTTAGAGCTGAGCCGATTCACCACTTTCGCGGATCTTTATTGCTCACATTTCTGAGAAGAAAACTACGTGGTCATCGTCAAGATTTTGGCAACCGCTTTTTCCAACCGATCACGATTTTCTTGTGGGGGGTATGAACAGAATGAATTGCCCACCGCGATTGAGACTTGTAATGCGGAGGACAATGCAAGGTCCATACAGACTGTGGAAGAGAATGGCAAGGAGATTCTCTTTCCTGAGTGGGTGACTTGCCCTGTTTGCTCTAAGAGCATAGAAGGAAACGATGCTGTCATCAACAATCATCTAGGTCAGGAATTCGAGCATATGTTATCAGCTTACTTTGAAGTCTGTGCTGCATCGTTCATATGATGGAGGGCTGGGATAGTTTAGTTCAAATGTTGCTCTATCTCAAAGAAATTCTTCTTGCTCACGCACACAAACAAAATTTTATCAAGAGAAGCATTGACCTGATATTACAGTTGTGGATGGCCATCTTGTTAATTTAATGTGACTGACATGTTAGCTTTGGGCGACCAGACACATGTCTTGCAAAGCGTAACAGGCGCAAGAGCACGCAGCTCACACTATTCAGTACAATGAAACGGATTTCGAAGCCCTCGACTTCAGCTGTTAGGAGAAAAGATGACGCAACACCAGGGAAAAGGACTTCTGTAGTTTCTAATGTGCCTGAAAAGCATACTCTATCAACATCTCACCTAGCGGAGTCTAAAGTTATGAACTCATCTTGTGACGATGATTCTCAAGAGGAATTACCCATTGCCGTCAATCCTCTTAAAGGCCACACTGATACAGATATGGGTTTCACTGGAATGCCCCCTCTTGTTGGCGATGATAGTGGAGTTAGTTCACCTTCCAAGGAAGTGATATTTCGTAATGATGATCAGTCTGATAAATTTCTAGAGATGAAAATCTTGAACGAGGGTTTAGCCGTCCCGCCAAGTAACGAAGAGGCTGAAAAGCTGGTCCCCATGGTTCAAGTGTTGAGGTCTCAGATTTTGAAATTTGAAAACACGACATCTCAAGAACCGGCTACAGTGGTTGGCTCTCAAGGTGAAATAGGTGTGAAAGTGGAGTCTTCTGAATTGACTGAGACTGATGCTGCAAAAAATGAGGAGGTTTGTATATGTTTGTGCCACTACGCTTCTATTAGCTCATGCAATCCGAATCATAAACAGTCCATGAACTCTACTTTGATGGAGAACTCCACAGAAGTGAAGGATGGTGCACCAGCTCCAGATCTGAATGATACTCTTGGAGATGCGGCTCGTAGAGATTCGTTAGCAGTCGTAGGCAGTATTGACACTTGTATAGTCGGCAGGAAATTCAGCGTGGAAGTTGCCTGTAAAGAGGGAATGGAACTTACTTTCGTAAGAGATGGAGACAATCCTAAGGATTCCAATGCTATCAAGGTGGGTTCTATTGATTGGCTACATTTGTTTTTCGATTTGTCTTAAATTCTTGCGGAGGAAACAGATTTTCATACTTTTTGTTTTGTTTTCCAGCAGCTTGAATGGAAAGAGTTTTTTGACTTTTCACATGTCTGGGAAACTTCAGCAAAATGGAACACAAGTTTCGTAATGCAAGAAGTCTGGAAACTGATGGACCCGCGAATTTGATATTCAGACACTTAATGTTGATCTTGAAACATATGTTTACTAACTTACTGTATGCTTCTCGTATCCAAGCAGGTCCTTACATTAGACGAGTTGGATCTGGGTTATCTTCCAAGGCAAGTTGCACTTCATCTTTCTGTTCTCCTCGACAAAGAATTAGGGTATCTGAAGGTATGTGCCCTCATGAGCTGACTCTCATTTCCTGACTTCAATCAAGTTTCATCTGTTTATTTTTGATATAAATAAACTGTATTATATTTATGCCCCTTATTAAACTTGGAGTATCTTCTGCAATTTATGACCTTCCTCAAGTTCTAACCGTATTGGCTTGGTTGCAATCAGGGCTTCGTATTGACACCTCCGGAAGACGATTTTGACGCAGTACCAATACAAATTAGCTTCGTGAAGAAATTTTTTGAGGCTATACATGAAGAGTTAATTAACAAGTGCTGGCAGGGGGTTGTGGCCGCAAGCTTGGTCGCCCCAAGACGTATTAAGTACGAAGCCAATTTTCTTCGTCTGCTCCAAACTGTCTTGGAGCGTGACAGCCACTTGTTCAATCCTGAAGAATTTGCTTTTTTGAGTATGTTATTTCTCCTGTCTTTAAGAATGAAAAATAACTACCAACCGATATCTTACACTTGTATTTGTATCAGTTTCACGTTTTGGTGCTCCAGTCAAGAGTAGAGTATGAGTACTAAACTTAATTACTTAGCTTGTGATGGGAACTTTTGCCTGTTGATGGAATGACCGACACTGAGACTCACATGACTGCAGGCTCCTTCTCAGCTATGTCTGGTGATGCGCAAAGACTCTTTATTCATTTGTATCAACGTAAAGGTGCACATTTGAGATGTGTTTTCCGTAGTTTTGAATGGGCATCTTGGCGTTACAGTAATTGTATAAGAGTTGTATCGATCAGCTGCTTCCATTTTTTATTAACCGTTTCCTCAACTTGTGGCTGTGACTGACAGGTCCTTGGTTTCGCTTCAATAATCTGAGTTATTCAGATGTTGCTGATATGGAGTCATCTGTTCAGGAGCTTACTGGTATGTTAAGGATATCGTATTCCATACATGAGTCGTTGTAATCAGTATTAGGATTCTAATTTCTCTTGGAATGTTATGTTGCCTAACTTGATTAATTGTGACAGCTGCTGGATACATGAATACATCTGAAACACTAGCTGATGGCTCTGACACCGAAGTAAGGGAGGTTACAGAGGTTCTAAGTGTCATGGAGCTGAGACAACTTGTGTGTACAGCACAATTGAAGGCGAGTTATCATTTGCTTATGCTCACTGAAGTTGGTAATGCCAGTCGTATCTCATTAATGTGATGTTGCTGGAAAGCAGGTGTCTATAAGATACTCTCTGAAATACATGTACTTGCCAGCATTTCTAAGAGATGCACCGCGCTATTTTTGTAACCACATTGATTCAACTCAGCTCTAAGTAAGAATCCGCTAAGGTGATCTTGGTTTTTATGATAATAACGTGCTCAGTACATTTAAATTTTTCTTCAAGGAAATCAAATGTCTTTTCACGAGGCACTTTATGGTAGCGTGAAGAACATAGCTTCTTACGTACGTTGCTTTTATTGTGCAGAATAAGAAAGAGGTTGCGAATGCAAGAAAAGAAGAACTTGTTAGCTGGGTTTCCTCTGGTATTCTTGCTAAAGATCAGGTTTCAGCTCGTGGGAGCTGCAGGTGCAATATCAACTTGGATATCTTATCACCCTTAATAAGCTTGCCGGTCGATTTCATACTTTGTGTTTACCTCAGCGCCACCGCGTTCATCTTATCATTTGCTCAAAGCCCTAATTTCCTGCTTATATGTTCAGTGGTATTGTTGTGAAGAATATGATGCTGAATTTGGTTGGACCTTGCATTCGGGTTTCTGATGATGCGGTATTCTTGCTCTGGAGATTGCAGGTACTGGCTTTGTAAGTTGTTTGATTCGCAGTATCATTTGCATTTTCTTGCTTATCTATGTCAATCATTTGTTTTCTGATGGAATTTATGATTTGGATTTAGAAAGATGGTTTTAGTCTGGGTTTACATGCATATGTACTGCTATTGCAGAGACTTTTCTTCTTGAATGGAGATCAGGAGCTTTCTTCTTTTCTGTTGGTGGACATGGGAATGGTGAAATACCCTGAATACAGATGCAATCGAAAGATGCCCATTTTTGCAACCCGTGAGGGATTGCTTGAGTATGAGAAGGTACAAGATGGTTAGTTATAGCCATAGCTATTAAATGTTTTATTTATCCTTAAAGTTATGAGGTTGATTGTGACCGTGTCTGTTTATTGCTCTCCTAATCCGTTCACAGAAGTAACCTGGGAGTTTTCTTTTTTATTCAGGCACTGGAAGTTGCACAAGCTATGGATATGGCTCTTGAAGTGAACGATATGCCCATAGTACTGACTTTTTTAGAGAAATCTCGGACATTTTTACGTCAGGATCGAAGCAGCAACGAGTCACTGAGAAATGATTGCCCTTCTTTTCTTTACCGCTTCACGGCTGCTCGTGTGTATTCAACAATTTGTACTTTGGGTGTTTCAATACTTGAACGAGAGCACAGGTTTGTGCTTTTCTGCTCGCTGAGCTGTCAACAGTGGTAAAACCCAGAATAAGATCACGAGTATAACTGTTTGCAGGTCGTAATACCTACTGTATCGGTCGTTATGAGCCTCGGGATTAATGAGAGTGGTAGTTAACGAATGATGAGAAATGTTGCTTCGCTGTGGCATTTGAGCGCATTGTTTGTCTACATTAAATATGGAGGAAAGCTATCTGGGAGTGAATAAGAATAGAACTATTCAGTTTCATGTAGTTATAATGTATAACTAAAATGCAACTGTAACTTTGACATTCTGGCACTATATTGTTACCGACAGATACGGAGAGGCAGTGGAATATTTGAAGGAATTGCTCTCTTCGTGCACACGATCAGGTAGGCGAGGGTATTGGACTGTTCGACTGTCAGTCGACTTGGAACACCTTGGCCGAAAGGAAGAGAGTCTTCAAGTGGCGGAAATGGGTGTTAACGACCCTTCAATCAGGGGTGGAGATCTTGTAGCGTTGCAGAGACGGGTTGTCCGTCTTAGCAAGCCTCCTCGAAGGTGGAAAAAACCACCATATGCTGATGCTTTGGAACTGAAGGTTGAGGAGGTAATCATCGTGTGGCCATGTCTTGCTTCGTATTTAATTATAAAACACAAAGGAACGTACATTCTTCTCAGCAGAGTTGCTGCCTTTTTAAGATGCATCTATTTTGAGCATTTTCATATACTATGATCATGTTTAATATATGAATGGTTGTCGTGATTGTTACCACAAAGAGTTGTGCTTGTGTGTGACCATGATCCTTATTTTGATTAAGTTCTACGGTCTTTTTTAGGACATCAGTCCCTTCATTCTGCAGCACCTAGTCCTTTTTTGTTCTATTTTATCCGTTACTTAAGCGAATAAAGTAGTCAATATTTCAGTTGTATTTGGGTTTCTTCATGTCCCTTTTAGGTTTCAATTCATCTTCACTTTAGGATGCGTATTCCTGGTCAGTACTTTCGAAAGTCGTCAGATTAAATAAGGTGTGTCCAATGCCGCCTGCTTCGCAGGTCCAAATAAGGGGTCGCCCGTTGAATTGTACTATAGGAATGAAGAGCCGGTTTTATGGTTTCGACGGTCAACAATGTGGAGTGGAGGAACTGGCTTTACAGCACTATGCAAGTGAAGAAGGAGGTGGTTGGCAAGGAATGCATTCAGAAGGTGGGATCTGGATGACACTCTTTGGGCTACTTATGTGGGATATTATATTTGCCGACGTACCCGATGTCTTCCAGACTCCGTTTCAGGTATCTTCGTTGTCCTACTGCTTCACATCTGATTTGGAACTTAAAAAGACTAAATGATGTCTGGTGCTAAACCTTGGTATGCACACACCCAATCACTATCTCTTCACACTCACAATCTGAAGATTCTCAGGGTCCTAAGTATTGATGTCACTTCTTCTAGATGGCCCCCCTTAGATATTTGCACATAACCTTTAACCAGAAGCCATTTGTGAGAACAAATAATGGTTCTGATACTTGAGTTTTTTGTTTTGTGCAGACAGCCCCACTAGATCTGAATACCCGTTCCTTTTTTACATCGAGACAATCCATCATTGAAAAGCGCCTTGAAGAAATTCGGCAAGGTTGTGCAGTTGTGCTGCTTGCGGAATGCTGGTCCAAGTACCATGGCACCTGCTGTCGGGGTATCAACTGGCATAGATATTCTCTTGAGAATCTTCAAATTATTGCTGCTTGTGTTGGAGGATCTGGTTTGTCTGCACTCATTCGACTTCTCTGTCAAGATCATGCTGGATACTCAGCAGGGATGCCGGATCTTCTCCTTTGGCGAACTTATAAGTAAGTACATCGAGATTACCAAATGACTTGGTAGGCACAGTATTGAATAGCTGTAGATTTTTTTCATTGGATGAACATCTAATTCAAATCATGCCCTTAAATCCTTAGAAAGCATTGTAAGCGCGTCACCCTTCAGTAGATGCGTAGCATAACGTACTGCTCCGTATCATTTCGCTACTCAGTTGATATTTATGTATTTGGTGGATTAAAGAGTTGACAACTAATACCGTATTTTGCTCCCATTTGGTAAGTAGACCTTGCTGATTGGACTTACCATGCGTTGAAATTAAATTCTCATGCAACTGTAGGAGTGTTTGATTGATGAGTATACAATCTTTGTGTGCTCACCTAATGCAGGGAACCAAGTCAACTGAGAAGAGCCGGTTCCGTCATGGATTGTCGAAGTTGTGATTGTAGTCAAGAGACAGATTCTTTGGAATTGGAAAATATTGTAAATTCGGAGGAAACAAAAAGACCTGAAAAAACAAAGGGGCATGTGTTGCGAGGAGAAGCAAAACTTGTGGAGGTCAAAGGACCTCGAGATCGACTCTCAGAACAACAACGTGCTTGGATAGTCGTCCTGCTGAATGCAGGCTTGTCGGTCCAGGTATGCAAAGTCTTTGAGACTTTAGAAAACTAATTGATAATTAGCAGTTGCTGCATGAGAGTGTTTGCTCAGATGCAACCAGTAACAGAGTCACTTGCATCTTTTATGCAAGTCATACTTTATGGACCGAGTCCTAGATCAGATTCATTCAATTGTTGGGATCTCAGGAGCTTGAAAACAAAATGGCATTAGCAGAATATTTCATTGCTGGGTGAGCAACTCGCGCTTATTTATTTTTCTTGCAACTATTTTGGTGTGAAGCTTACATTGTTATTATCTCGTAACAAATTTATTATCTTGGTTCGATTTTAATCGATCCTTCAAACGCATTCATGCTCATATGCGTAATTCAGGTTCTGCTTGTATTATACATTTGTCGATTATTCATTTTGTAAAAAGTTATTCCATAAATCATTGTCTACTATGAATATCTCTTCTATGCACGTGTGATAATTTTGAACCAAGGTGATTGAAATGGTAATTAAAAGATATTCTACAAAACAACTTCAAAATGATGTTTGAGAAGTACCATGGAAGTAAAGTTGTACACATGAAATATATATTTGTAGCACAAAAAACTTACAAACCAATCCATTTTCTAATAATAAGTAAATGATGACTTTGTAACATTTTATTTTTTTACTTGTTTAAAAAGTTAGTATTTAAAAAGATAATAATCAATTATTGAGTGTTGACAAATATAAATACAAGAGTTGAAAATTAAACTAATGATTCAATACAAATACAAAAGACAAGTTCAATAAATATATATGGCTAAATTTCTATATATATGTGTATCAAAATAAGGATATATTAATACAATCTATAATAGCTTGATTAATACAAATTGTAATATAGAATGTTTACTTCACAATCATGCTCCAATTGTAAAAAAATAATAACTTTAATGTTTTAAAATTGAATTTGAATGTAATGATTCATTCAAAATAAACAAAAACAAAAAATTATAGGTGAAAGTAACAAAATACACCTATAAAAAAAAGTAAAAGTTAAAATATGTGGAGCTTTGTGCTAAAGAACATTGCAAGCGTAAGGGTGAAGGAATCTTACTCTCTCTCAATGTGTATTTCTAAGAGTTACTAACTTTAATACTTTGGATGTCTCTTGACAATTGTTGTTTTCATAAATAGTATTGCTTATTAGTTTCGACATCCTCCTTAGGCTAAGATTTACACAAAAAAATCTATTATTTAAAATTTAAATATCGATTGGATGATTATATTGGCAACAAGATTTGTTGAATCAAGAGCATCTTTAATTTAACCGTGCAACAAGCTAAGAATCATTCAAATCAAAGCTGAGTACAAATTTTGGCAAATTTTGGAGTAGAAGGGAGTCGTTGCCTTCAATCCTTGCGTGTTGTCAAGGTACCTTCGCTTTCATCTCTCTTATTTTATTTTTACTTTTATCTTTGGAGTGAATTGTAATCTCCACATTTTACCTTTTGGCTAATAAATTTTAACTTTTAATTTTTAACCTTTAATATTCTCACTTTAACTTTTAATCTTAAGTTTTAACTTTAATTTTTAAACTTAATTTTTAATTTTTACTTTTTAACTTAATCTTTTTAATTTTTAATTTTAACTTAATTTTTTTAATTTAACTTTTAACTTTTAAGTTTAATTTTTTAAACTTAATTTTTAACTTTTAACTTTAATTTTTTTAACTTAACTTTTAATTTTAACTTTTAACTCAAACTTAAGTTTTTATTCTTACTATCAATTAAAAGTAATAACTTAGTTAATTATTTTTTTACTATATTTGTAAAGTAAATTTCATTTAAAATTTTAATTTAATATTAGTAATCATTGCTAGGAAGGCATTAATTTGAATTGAACTACAAACATCCACATTTAAATTAACTCAACAATTTCACAATTGGGAGTCCTTCCATTCTATCCTTTGAACTTATTGTGTGGTGTCAATTTAATGAGTGGTGAATTTGGAGCTCACAACAAGCATAGATTAGAAAGGTCAAAGATTATACTTTGATAAATCTTGTGGTAAGTGTTGTAAATTTTAGTCACCTTTTCTTGATAGATCTACCTTGGTAAGTACTTTTGCCTCCTCTAAAACTTTCTTTCATGACCATGACTTTCTCTTCATCCTCTTTATATTTTTTTAATGGTTTTGCTCACATCTTTCTTTAAGAGTAGTCTTTTTAGTTCTTTATAAGTAGGTAGGTCTGTTCTTCATTTTTAAATTACTTTAAAATTTATCCAACTGCTAAGTAGGCTATCAAGGATTAAGCTAATTAAGTCTTTGTCTGTTACTACTATTCCTGGTTGAGTCTTCAACAAGTTAATCTTTTGAATGTAATCTGCTATCTGTTTTTTTTAAACAATCATAGTAAAAAAATTTCTTTTCTAAAGGCTAGTCTTCTTTAAGAACTCTACAGATCAAAAGTATATTTTAATCTAAATCAAATCTAATCCCGATCTATCATCAATATAACACTAAGCAAGATTTCATCTTGAAGAGTGAAGATAATGATCATTCTATAGGAATTAGCATCTTTAAAAAATTTCATATATTTCTAAAGTCTTTTTTGGATTAAAATCATCTTAATTTTGTAGCTCTAGAAAATATAGTTATTAGAACCTTATAGTTTTATGGACTCGAGAACTTCTTTTTTCACTGGATCCATTTTTAGATAGACGTATAAAAGCTTACAAATATCTATTAATTATTGTATTAACTCAGGTGCTTACAAGCACCGCTGTCGTATTATAATTTATTCATAAAGTAAAAATAATTTTTATTATATTAATGTTATTTAATAATGACCTTAGAAAATAATGAGTTATTTTCTATAGAATTTTATAGTTTATAGAAATCTTAAATAACTTGTATAAGTTTTATAAGTAAAAGTAGAAGTAGTAGGGTATTTAATATAGAAGATGTAGAAAGATATGGATATTGATATTATAGTATTGTGGCCTTAGGCCATCTACGTGGATAGATAAGGCAAGGATAAGAAGATCTTCACTCTCATTGGCTATAGGTCATGACCAATGAGCTTCAAGGGGCTGTCCGAGAAAAAACCGAAGGGGAGGCCACTTCTTCAATGGCATTTGAGGGTTTAGAGGAGAGATTCAGGAAGCTTGTGTTTTGGGCTATAATTTTGGTGTATAAAGTTTGTTATTTGAATTTTGTATGAAGAAGTTAAGGTTGTTTGAAGTTAGGATGTGAATTGTTTATCGACTGTCACTCTTTTAAGCATACAGAAAGTTGTAGAAGGTTTTCTGGAAAACAAAAGGTGTCGTTGGAAAGCTGGTTTGAAGGATAAATTTTTTGTGAAAGGGTTGTTAATTTTGAGTCTCTCATGCAAGAGTTATGGCTGTTTAAAGTCTAGATGTGAAATTTGTACCTACTATCACTCTTTCAAGCATACAAAGAGTTGTAGAAAGGCATTTAACAATCGGAAGGTGGAGTTGGAAAGTTGACTTAAAGGGCTTCAATTATTGTGCAAGATTTGATGAAATCAGATCTAAAGTGAGGAAGAAATGACTGGTCGAAGTTAGAGCTTGCAAATTAAGGAAGTATGTGAACCGAATTGTTGGTGGTTATGTTTTGAGCCATTTTTTTTGAGCATTTTGAATTAAATTTGGCTTAAAATTGACCAAAGGTGTATTTATAATATTGAGAAGCTATACAAAAAAAAAATTCATATCATTTGAGTATTGGGTTTGTAAGAAATCACAAAATCAATATATAGGTGTTTGTAAGTCAATATGTAAAGGTCATACTACTAAAATTGTGTTATCTAGAGTTTTGTAAAGAATCAATGGTTGAAATTTAGAAATAAATGATTTAAGAGTACTTCCTTACTTTTCAAAAAATTTAAGTTCAATCTAACAGTTGGATTGAGAATTATCGAATTTTAAAGTTCACTGCATCAAAGGGATTCGGTATTGAAGGAATTTTGGTATTACAAGGATTTTACTACCACAAAAAGGGTTTTGGAAATTACAAAAGATTTGGAAATTATTGATTGATTTTACTATTACTAGAGGTCTGGTAATTATTATTTATTGCTACAACTTTTACTATTATTGGAGGCTCAATAATTATTATTTACTACTATAACTTTTACTATTACTAGAGGTCCGATAATTATTATTTAGTGCTATAAGTTTTATTATTATTGGAGGTCTGGTAATTATTATTTACTACTATAACTTTTATTATTACTGGAGATTTAGTAATTATTATTTACTACTATAACTTTTATTATTACTAAAGATTCAGTAGTTATTATTTATTGTTACAATTTTTACTATTACTAGAGGCTTAGCATTTGATGTTTATTGCAACTATATTTAATATCATGGAAAGGAATAAAAACAAAATTATAAATAATCTTGGAATATTTTTCATATTATGATTAATTGAGAATTTAGTGTCAGCCAAAAGCCCAGCGCTTTGTCAAGGCAAACTCTCTTTTCCTCAATACTGCTTTAATACTATGTAAGCATTTCATTAAGCTTTATGCTTTAATAAAGTGGTTTAGTATCATAAGTATGAAAGAAAGATCTACTATCATAGCAAGTATATATATATACACACATCCTAAATCTTAGTGGATCTTTAGATGAAAAATCTGAGTTTGGATGTAACAATTTATATTGAGCAAGGATGCAATCTTGGATGCTTAGATTTATTACCAATAAAAAGTGATATTTGTTGTATCAAATTAATGAAGTTGTTATAGGATTAGTTTAAAGTTCCATTGCAAAAGTTTTATCAAGAATTGAACTCCGACTAAAAGTTGCTATCTAGAGATAGGAGGTCACATGCGCATGTCATGGCTTTTGCATGTTGCAGCTTTACAATACTATTCTTGAGCAACATCTCTTTGTAAATCAAGTAACTCTTGAGTAAAATTGTGATATGAGATATATAGGATTACAAGGTCTAACAATCTAATTTTGCATACAAAAGGAAATCTACCAACTAATATAAAGACATAGCCTTTAATACAAAGAGCTATTAATTGAACAAACTCATCAACTTATATTTCTTTATAATAAATAAGAAAGCTTCAATTTATCTCAATTACCTCTTTTAACAACTTGTTGATACAAGCTATGAAAAATAGAAAAGATTTAATATTAAAAAAAAATCATCTATTGCCATCTTTGGAATGGACTTCAAATGATTGGATTTAAATGCATTCATGTGCCTAAAAATTGAAGAATGTCAGCTAGACATCACTTTGCATCAATGGATAAGATCCAAAATAACAATTATAAAAGAGACAACTTTTGTTTCTTTGATCACCTTGAATTGTCTTTTCAAATAATCACTCCAAATAC